TCCTTCCTTCCTTCCTTCCTTCCTTCCTTCCTTCCTTCCTTCTTTTCTTTCTTCTTTCTTTTTTTTTTTTTGACAGAGTCTCGCTTGTCACCCAGACTAGAGTGCAGTGGCGAAATCTCAGCTCACTGCAACCTCTGCCTCCCAGGTTCAAGCGATTCTCCTGTCTCAGCCACCCGAGTAGCAGGGATTACAGGCATGTGCCACCACACCTGGCTAACTTTTTATATTTTTGGTAGAGATGGGGTTTCACCATGTTGGCCAGACTGGTCTCGAACTCCTGACTTCAGGTGATCCGCCCACCTCAGCCTCCCAAAGTGTTGGGATTACAGGCGTGAGACACCATGCCCGGCCAGAACTGTGTAACATTTAAAAGAGAAGAAGATAATCTTTTCTTCAAAGTATTTATAAAGTTGTTATTCATTTACAGATATTTAACAAGTATCTGTTCTGTGTTAGCTGCCATGGGGAACAGAAAGAAGACACTGTCCCTGACTATCAAGAAGATATAATATAAGCCAAGGAAGATAGAGGCATTTTTTCTTTCTCTTTCCTTTCTTCCATAGAACACAGTACTAAGGGAATGTCTGCAGACAAAGCAAAACAAATTTAAGTAAGCAGAAAAAAGAAACAGTGCTGTAATAGGCCAGCCAAAGGAACCTGCGGAGTTTCAAATGCTGATATATTTAATAGGATTTTATTTGGTTAGTTGAAGTAGTACAATTTCTATTAGGTGAACATCTATCCAATAATTTTCTCCTGGCTAGGTGCAGTGGCTCATTCCTGTAATTCCAGCACTTTGAGAGGCTGAGACAGGTAGATCACTTGAGGCCAGGAGTTCGAGATCAGCCTGACCGACATGGTGAAACCCCATCTCTACTAAAAATACAAAGAATTAGCTGGGCATAGTTGTACATGCCTGTAGTCCGAGCTACTCAGGAGGCTGAGGCAGGAGGATAGCTTGAACCAAGGAGGTGGAGGTTAGAGTGAGGTGATATTGCACTGCTGCACTCCAGCCTGGGCAAGAGAGCAAGATTCCATCTCAAAAAAAAAAAAAAAAAAAAAGTTACATAGTTCCTACCTTGAATCTCGTATGTTAGTATTAGAGGCTCAGTACATATGTTGTAAAACATGCTTATTTGGCCATCTAGGATAACATTTTGTTTTGTTTTGTTTTGTTTTTTTTGAGATGGAGTTTCCCTCTTGTTACCCAGGCTGGAGTGCAATGGCGTGATCTCGGCTCACCGCAACCTCCACCTCCTGGGTTCAGGCAATTCTCCTGCCTCAGCCTCCTGAGTAGCTGGGATTACAGGCACGCGCCACCATGCCCAGCTATGTTTTGTATTTTTAGTAGAGACGGGGTNCCTCCTGGGTTCAGGCAATTCTCCTGCCTCAGCCTCCTGAGTAGCTGGGATTACAGGCACGCACCACCATGCCCAGCTAATTTTTTGTAGTTTTAGTGGAGACGGGGTTTCACCATGTTGGCCAGGATGGTCTCGATCTCTTGACCTCGTGATCCACCCGCCTCGGCCTCCCAAAGTGCTGGGATTACAGGCTTGAGCCACCGCGCCCGGCTAGGATAACATTTTGAATATCATAAATATTGGTTAGGTCTGGACATTAATAATGGCATTAGACAGCACCAGTTGACAAAGGAAGCATCATATTATGTGCAAAAAAACTGTTATGGGAATTGGGTAACAATTTTAATAGAAGACAGAAGAAATGTTTATTTACTTGAATGCAGGGCTTCACAAATTTTCTTGGCCTATAAAATTCACAAGTATCTTAGTAATTTTTATACAGCATCTCTAGGCCAAGATACTCATTCATTTATGAAAAATGCCTATCCATTTATGAAGAAGTTAGGTTCAAACAGTTTATGTCCTACCAGTTTAACACCTATTGGGCCCTATTGCACAGTTTCTCAAACCTTGCAGTCAGAATGAACATTCTACCCTCATTCCTCTTCCACATTGATTTTCTTTCTGTACATTTTATCATAGCAACTGCCCAAAACCCAACTTCACAAAATATGGCATTATTGAGGACGGATGTGGTGGCTCATGCCTGTAATCCTAACACTTTGGGAGGCTGAGGTGGGCAGATCACTTGAGGTCAGGAGTTCGAGATCACTCTGGCCAATAGGGTGAAACCTCGTCTCTACTAAAAATACAAAAAATTTTAGCCAACCCTGGTGGTGCATACCTGTAATCCTACTTAGGAGGCTGAGACAGAATTGTTTGAACCTGGGAGTTGGAGGTTGCAGTGAGCCGAGATCACACCACCACACTCCAGCCTGGGTGACAGAGTGAGACTGTATCTAAAGTAATAATAAAATAAATAAATATGGCATTATTGAAGAGCAGTATAGCAGTCCTATGTAGGAATTGTGAACTACCTCAAGCTAGTAGTTCACACAGTATTCAACAGATGTTGCTGTTTTTTTTTAAATAAATTTAAACTATCCCACAGTACCTTGTGAGTTTGCCACTGTGTCCTGGGTATTGAGTACATAGTTTGGGAACCATGGCCCTAATGACTGTCATCACAGAAGGTGAGAGGAGTCTCATGTAAGGACTGAGATGTGTCTTGTGGAGGATGGTGGGAATGATGAAAAGGGATATTTTTAGGAGCATTGACAAGGGCCAAGTAGGTACTTAAGATTGAGCCATAGTCTTGGCTAAATATCTGTCTTTAATCTTATCTCCTCGAAAAAATTGAGATAAATTTTGTGTATATCTGCTATTTACTTGTGACCACATTTATCTCAGTATTAGTTTTTTTATGCTAGCCAGTTCATATGCATGGTCATTTTTGTTACTTTTCTTGATACTTTGGAGACATCAAACCGATGTTGATATAGAAGGATGACTTCGAGTCTTTGATCCAATCTTTGTTACTTGTATTAGCTTTTTAAAGGATGTCATTTGAGTCCAATCTTTCTTATTCACAGAAACAAAATAAATGAATCAAAAGTTCTTGTTTTTTTTTTTTCCTTGATGTAGAACAAATCACCTGCTGCAGTAACAGAACCAGAGACAAATAAATTTGATAGTACCGGATATGATAAAGACTTAGTAGAAGCTTTGGAAAGAGATATAATTTCCCAGAATCCCAATGTTCGATGGTAAGTTATATTGAAACAAAATAATTGGGTGCTGATGGTGCTTTTCGCAATGGAAAATAGAACAAATGTGAGTGTGTACTGAAGAGCGGAGCTTGAAGATAAAACTGGAGTATATGCAACATGAGCATGACTTTACTGCGTTCAGCCTGTTCCAATTCTTGTCTGAGAGTCTGAGGTTTTTTTTGTTTTTTTTTTTTTTGAGATGAAGTCTTGTTCTGTTGCCCAGGGTGGAGTGCAGTAGCACGATGTCAACTCACTGCAACTTCCGCCTCCAAGGTCCAAGCGATTCTCCTGCCTCAGATTCCTGAGCAGCTGGGACTACAGGCATGTGCCACCACACCTGGCTATTTTTTGTATTTTTAGTAGAGATGGGGTTTCACCATGTTGGCCAGGCTGGTCTCAAACTCCTGACCACGTGATCCGACGACCTCAGCCTCCCAAAGTGCTGGGATTACAGGCGTCAGCTACCACGCTTGGTGTTTGTTTTTGTTTTTAGAGATAGGGTCTCACTTTGTTGCCCAGGCTGGAGGACAGTGGCTCGATCATAGCTCTCTGCAGCTTCAAACTTCTAGGCTTAAGTGATCCTTCTGCTACAGCCTTCCAAGAAACTGTGACTACAGCTGCACACCGCCACATCTAGCTATTTTTAAAAAATGTTTTATAGAGATGGAGTCTTGATCAGGCTGGTCTTGAACTCCTGGGTTCAAGTGATCCTCCTGCCTCAGCCTCCCAGAATGCTAGGATCACAGTCATGAGCCAATGCACCTGGCCAAGGCAATGATTTTTACGTACATGTGTTGCTTATTAACTCTAGCATCCCATAAATGTTGCTTCCCCCCCCCCCTTTTAGAGCAGTGGTTCTCAACTTTATTAATATTACATGTAATCAAAGATCTGTAATGTATTACAATGAGTTATAAAAGTTAACTTTTCCATAAAGTTAGGTATATTCTGTTTATATTTGTGTTAAAACCTTAATGATTATTAGGTATGGGATTGAGTGATACTAAAAAATATTGGGGACATTAATATTTATACAATGAAATACCTTTTTTTTCTTTTTAACAAAAATTGCCACATATAGCAGTAGTAGTAGGTATTCTAGTGGTTGGAGAAGAGTTTATAGCAATCTCTGGGATACTCTTTTTCTATCTTTCTTTTTTTCTTTTAAGTCTATAAAGAAATTGCTTCTTCTGAGCTCTGTGATACTCTTAAACCTTGGCACCTACCTCTAAATAGAGCTGGAGGCAGAGCAACTATGTTGTAGCCTGTCTCTGCTTTATACCCTTTTTATTCTTTATGCTTTTTTTAAAATAAAAAAAAAAGGGCTCATTGTTTCTTAATCATGGAGGTTATGGAATGAGGACCTTAAGAGCAGGAGTTTAAGATGAGATGACATGATAACATTGGAGAATGGGCCTGGAGACTATGTTCTCATGATCCAGGCAAAAAACTGTCAACTGCCAAGAACTGAAGAAAAGGTTGTGCTCTTTGCATATCTACTGGTTGACATGGTGGGCCTCATCGCAGTGTGTTAGTTCTCCCGTGCACAGAGAGAGGCTCACCATTCTGTCAGCAGCGTAACATCATGTGCTTCCAGGGCTTCTCATGAGTGACTACATAGACATATATCCTCCAAAGGCTTATTAGTTAATAAAATGTCTTCTCTTTCAGGGATGATATCGCTGATTTAGTAGAAGCTAAAAAGTTGCTTAAGGAAGCCGTAGTATTACCAATGTGGATGCCTGAATTCTTTAAGGGCATTAGGAGACCGTGGAAGGTAAGTCTATTACTGTGATGGCATTGTCAAAGTAAATGGCAGTGTGTTGATACAGAGAGCCAATATTTCTCTATATTGGGACAGTGGAGAGAGAAAGTGGAGTAAGGAAATTTTTAAGTTCTAAAGTATATGTTGTGCTACTAAGAATTTTGTTAGGCCAAAAGCCATTGCAAGATTCCTTGAGTAAGAAATACGTACAATGTGATCTTTGGAAAGTTGAATACACAGCACTAAAATGTAGAATTCACCCCATTTAGAATGAGCTGTATTTGCAAATATGACCTAGTTAGCTAAAGCAAAAATACGCCATTTTATATGATACGTTACATGACTGGTAACCTGTATTTTGGGGATTGTTCTCAATTAACGGGAAATATCTGCATGTGATGAGTACTTTTTGAAGTAAGTCATGGGCTGATCTGAAAAAAGACCATCAACACTTAAAAAACAAAAAAGACCATCAAAAAAACCTTTCTTGGGTCAGGAAAAACACACTAATAGGTAACTGCATGTATGAATAGTCGTAAAAATCCTTTATGCATTAAATAAGCAAGATACAAAATGATAGACATATTTTGAATAAATTACAGATGAATGTATTTTGTTTGTTTTGTCTTGAGACGGAGTTTCGCTCTGTCACCAGGCTGGAGTGCAGTGGCATGATATTGGCTCACTGCAACCATCGCCTCCTGGATCCAAGTGATGCCCCTGCCTCAGCCTCCCGAGTAGCTGGGACTGCAGGCACGTGCCACCACGACTGGCTAATTTTTTTTGTATTTTAGTAGAGATGCGGTTTCACCATGTTTTTAATAATGTGGTTATCTTCTTTTTTAATAGGAAGAGTAAATTTGTGACAAAGTATCCTCCTGTTTATGTTTGTCTTTTACATGTCTTGATATTATATGTAAGTTGGTTGAAATTTGCTACTTAGTAATGAAATTTTTATGAATTAGAACAATGGCAGATAAATCCTCTGCTTAGGCTATTATATTCCCAACAGGGAGTGCTGATGGTTGGCCCACCCGGCACAGGGAAGACGCTCCTTGCTAAAGCAGTAGCTACAGAATGCAAGACAACATTCTTCAATGTTTCTTCATCAACTCTGACTTCCAAATACAGAGGAGAGTCTGAGAAGCTTGTTCGTCTTCTGTTTGAAATGGTGAATGTTTGAGACAGCTCTAATGATTCTTTACCTCTCTAAAAGGGGAGAAAGTGAGTTGTAACTATCTCAAGTATATGGAATAAGGCAGGATACCATTTTGCCCAGAGTATAATTCTTGTGTCCTTAAGACTAGTGTTCTTTCCAAACATGAATAATTTGAGTTTCTCTTTGTCTCTTTTCCTCCAGATATAGATCCAAATCTATCAGTTTTGGGGCATGTTCACATTATGGGATCTGCATTACTAATCTTCTGTAGGAATCTGAAATTATGTTTTTTAAATCAATAGGTTTAGTTATAATATATCCACAGTATTGTAACAATGATGCCAAAAGGTGAGAATCGTAAGTTATTGTGGAACTTAGGTCGCCTCCAATGTATTAACTATAGCAAATGCCTTCATTTTCATGACCTAATCTTTGGATTAGGTTCTTTCTTCCACCAATACAAATCAGAGGACCGATAGAAGAAAGTAATTCAACAAGTTCTGGTAGAGTGTTAGATTGAATTCCACAGCCTTTTAAACTTCAGACTTTGTTAAGCTTCACTGATTACTCTTGCCTCTAAGAAACAGAGTAGTTTGATGTAATTAGGAGTTACGCTATTAGTGACAAAGACATTAATTTTTTTTTTTTTTTTTGAAACGGGTTCTCACTTTTGCCTAGGCTAGTATGCAGAAGCATGAGCACAACTCACTGCAGCCATGACCTCCAGGCTCAAGTGATCCTCCCGTCTAAGCCTCTCAGGTAGCTGGGATGATGGACATGAGCCACCACACCCAGTTAATTTTTATTTTTTTTACAGATGGAGTCTTGCTGTGTTGCCCTGGCTGGTCGTGAACTCCTAGGTTCAAGTGATCCTTTCACTTCAGACTACCAAAATGTTGGATTTATAGGCATGGGTCACCAAGCCAGGCCAAGACATGAATTCTTTTTTTTTTTAGGCAGTCTCATTCTGTCACCTAGGCAGATGGTGCAGTGGAGACTGTAGTGGTGCAGTCTTCACTCACAGGAGCCCTCACCTCCTATCCTCAAGCGATCCTCCCACCTTAGCCTCCTGGGTAGTTGGGACTACAGGTGCTCACTACCATGCCTGGCTAATTTATGTATTTTTAATAGTGATGAGGTTTTACCATGTTGGCCAGGCTGGTCTTGAACTCCTGATTTCAGGTGATCTGCCCACCTTGGCCTCCCAAAGTGCTGGGATTACAGGTATGAGCCACTGTGCCCCACCTTTTTTGATTTTTTTATGGAGATGAGGTCTCACTATGTTGCCCAGGCCAGTCTAGAACTCCTGGCCTCAAATGATCCTCTTGCCTAGGCCCCATAAAGTGCTGGGATTACAAGCAAGAGCCATTGTGTTCAGCTTTTTATTTTTTTTTATTTTTATTTATTTTTTTTTTGAGACGGAGTTTCACTCATGTTGCCCAGGCTGGAGTGCAATGGCGTGATCTCGGCTCACTGCAACCTCCGCCTCCTGGGTTCAGGCAATTCTCCTGCCTCAGCCTCCTGAGTAGCTGGGATTACAGGCACGCACCACCATGCCCAGCTAATTTTTTGTATTTTTAGTAGAGACGGGGTTTCACCATGTTGACCAGGATGGTCTCAATCTCTTGACCTCGTGATCCACCCGCCTCGGCCTCCCAAAGTGCTGGGATTACAGGCTTGAGCCACCGCGCCCGGCCCAGCTTTTATTTTTTAAAGATAAGTTCTCGCCAGGCATGGTGGCTCACACCTTTAAGCCCAGCACTTTGGGAGGCTGAGGCGGGTGGATCACGAGGTCAGGAGTTCAAGACCAGCCTGGCCAAGATGGTGAAACCCTGACTTTACTGAAAATACAAAAATTATCTGGGCATGGTGGTGCATGCCTGTAGTCCCAGCTACTCGGGAGGATGAGGCAGGAGAATTGCTTGAACCAGGGAGGGGGAGGTTGCAGTGAGCTGAGATCTTGCCACTGCACTCCAGTGAGACTCCATCTCAAAAACAACAGCAACAACAAAAAAGATCTCACTACGTTGTACAGGTTGTAGTGCAGTTGTCATTCACGGGCACGATCATAGCGAACTGCATCCTTCTGTCTCAGCTTCCTAAGTACCTGGGACTGCAGGCATGTGCCACTACACTCAGCTTTTAAGCCTTATTTTTATTGTCCTTAGGGCAATGAACTCTCAGAGGAATTAGCCCTCATTTTGTCATTGTTCCAGCAAAAATCCAAAGATTAATATTTGGCCTGTTTTGAGCTTCATATCCATGCCTACACTCCTTGTTTTTGGTCAGAGAATTGAAGTGCCCTGATTGGCCAGGCCTGAATAAAACCCCTGGACCTTCAAGTAGAGTTAGCCTCTTTTGAAGTAGTGAGGGGCCGGGCATGGTGACTCACGCCTATAATTCCAGCACTTTGGGAGGTTGAGGCAGGCGGATCACTTGAGGTCAGGAGTTTGAAACCAGCCTGGCCAACATGATGAAACCCTGTCTCTACTAAAAATAAAACAGTTAGCCAGGTGTGGTGGCGTATGCCTATAATCCCAGCTATAGCTACTCAGGAGGCTGAAGCAGGAGAATCACTTGAACCCGGGTGGCAGAGGTTGCAGTGAGCCGAGATCGTGCTATTGCATTCCAGCCTGGGAGACAGAGCAAGACTCTCGTTAAGAAAAAAGAAAGAGGGATGATTTGTGATTTGCAAATCAAAAAGACGCTTCTCTTACCAGAAGTGTGCTGTGCAGGGAGAACCAATAGGTGTTCTCTACAGTAGCTTCCCTGGCCAGCTAAAGCCAGGATGCAGAGCCTTTGCTTGAAGTCAGATCATTCTACATACCCTCAGTATGTGGGAAGAACAGTCTAGTCATTTTTGCTTGGTGTGGCAACAGATTGAAATTTAATTTTTGTTGATGTAGGTTCTTTTGATAGATGGTTCCTAACTAAAATTTCAGTTGAGAATTTTCTTGGATATTTTAATGATTAAGCTCACTCTTTTCCTCTCTCCATTTCTTGAAAAAGTAAGAAATATTTATACATAAAA